TTCCTTCTTCTGCAGGAACTCTTGCTTCAGGTCCTTGAGACACTGGACACAAAAGCATTTTAAAATATGTTTGATTTATGTAAAAATCAAACACTACTCATAGATAAACATATAAGCTGCAACTGGATACAATTAGGGTTCCCAAATAAAAGGCAGAAAACCAAGAGAAACCCCAAAGAAGAAGATGCTTTTAAAACTGTCAGTGTTTAACCAAAAATAAACAATGTAAATAACATTTCTCCAACGTGTATTTGCTTTATAATCTCGCTTGATGTGCAACATCAACGTTCAGCGGTTTGTGTGAGGAATGCCGTACCTCCTCTTGCCTCTCAACCTGCTCCCGCGTGACCATTTTAGTGTGTTTAATGTGGATGTAATCTCTCTTCATCTGCTCGAGCAGAGTTGCTTTCATGAAGAACTACAAACGAAAAAAAGCAGAAAAGAAAGCACTTATCAAAGTGAGCTTCATTGCAGGTGTAACCTTTAAATCTTAACGCTTTTAGCGAACGTGGCGTTACGCTACCTTATACTTGTCTGTTTCACTTTTTGAATGCAGGAACTGCTTGCTCATTTCTTGGCTGAGAATGGATACTGGGTTATCCAGCTGGAATACACAAGCAAATATCCTGTTAAGTCCTTTAATGTGTATGATTGTGCAGGAAGCAGTACAACCTCGGGGCATCTACAGGAAAAAAATTTAAAAAGTAGCAAGTACCTGGATGTTAAAGTGGTCCAAAATGCCCGTTAATTCCTCCTTTTTGTTTGAGACGAGATGTCCTAAAAGAGATAAAATGCAAGTAAAGTGGTTTGAACCTCTGTTGCCCTTTAAAAGAGGTTATAACTTACATGCCACTCATTGGAAAATAATAAGATGGTACTGTACTGTGTTCATAATTCCTTAAATTTGGACAAGATCTCCTACACCACTGGCCGATATCTAGCCCAAAACACGACGGAGCCTCCAGTGTGTTTTCCAGGCTGTAGACACTCACTGTCTACACTCACTTCACTGTGACAGGTTTTTAGCTAATAGCTCTTTGTGAATCTTGTTGGTGCATAAATACTAATTTATGCCTGTTAAACTTGGTTACTTTGGTAAATTTTTGGGTAGATTCAACAGAAGAAATGTGAATAAATTCTGTGATTTTGTGTGAGAATGTAATAATAGTGTTATAATAATGTTAGTGGCTTAACATACAGAAGAACATTCTTCTGAAAATGGTCAGGTACAAGAGTGAACATGCATACTGGCACATGCACTTTAAGTTCCTTTTATTTATAAAATGACATTTACAACATAGGAAAACCAGCGGCTGAAAGCAGTGCCATGCAAATAAAATATATACAAGTTTATAGAGAAAATTCCAGACTGAGAGTAAAGAATGTATACAGTATTAGGAGGTGACAGTGTGGCTGAAGTGTTTGGTCTCCACTCCCAACTGTGTCTGGTTAATCTAAGATTTCCAGAAGGTTTCACAAGACTTGGACCGACTCACAGAAAGTTTTCCAGTCACAGCATCTGTGGAAAGTCACCTGATTTGCTTTTCAGCCTGCAGGTCCGGCATCCATCACTCGAGAGCCGATGTTCAATGGTGATACTGTCGCCGTAAACATCCTTTTTGTAAGCATCTGGCCCTCTGTTTCTCAGCTTTACTGTTATATCTGCAGTACTAGAAACCAGAGTGTATTTTTAACATTGTTTTAGTGACGTGCTAGTAAAGAAATCTGAAGCATTTTTAACACTAAAATAAAGACACACAATTTATTACTGAGGGACGATATTAGGATCTATTACTTACTTTTCATTGGTCTTCACAAAGTCTTTCAGTGACATTCCTCTGTTCGTCACAGTGGCCTTTCCCCCGAGGCCTACGATCAAAGCGGTCAGGATAGCGCTTTTTCCACCTGAGGGATAAAGCAGTTACAAGACAACAAATTAAATCGGTGCATGTAAAGCATCTTACAGACATGCGGTGCTCGGCAGTGCTAGAAAACTATGCAAATGATTGTAAATGATGCATCAACTGAAAAAAAAGAAAAAAAAAGAAATCAGGGAGCCATCTTTGAATAAACAAATTTTCAGTGAGCTCAGCATTAAACAGTTCCTTACATAAGCTGATACTTCACCTAAAATGATTCAGCCAAGTGAGCAATAAATGATAATCTTGTGAATCCTGCAAAGTATTTTTTCCAGTGAAAGAAATCTAAATGTTTAAAATGTTTTACAGGGGAGTTTGTGTGGCGTTAAGTGACAAAATAACAAAGCTGGAGAGGGATGGATCAAATGTTCTTCTGTAGATAACAAAATTGGGTGTTGTTCATTCACTCTGTATTGTTGATCCACAAAGGGTGACAAGGTTTTGTTCTGGATTTAGGCCTGAAGTCTAAAGATGACATTCCTTCCTGATATATTAGAAGTCTGTTATATCATTTTAAAAACAAACTCTCGATTTAAGTACGACTGTTCATCATTAACGCAATGCAGAGATGGTCGCGATGATCTGCTGAATTTCAAACCAAGCATCAGAGTGGGGAAGAAAGGTGATTTAAGTGCAACATGAATGTAACGTGGTTGTTGATGTGAGTATTTGAGAAGCTGTTCATCTACTGGGACTTTCCCCACACAATCATCTCTAGAGTTTACTAGAGAAATATCGAGCGAGCGGCAGTTCTCGCGTTGATGTCAGAGGTCAGAGAAGAATAACTGCACTGCTTAAGGCAACAATAACTCAAATAACCACTTGTTACAACCACGGCGTGCAGAAACACATCTCTAAATGCAGAGCATAGCAAGTCTTGTAACTTACAGTAGCAGAAGACCAGACTGGGTCAGCTGAGAACAGGAAACCAAGGCTGGATGGTAGCGTCAAAATTTGAATTCAGGCTCTTGGTGGTGTAATGTTGTGGGGACTACTTTTTTTGGCACACTTTGCTTAACTGAGCATTGTTTAAACACCTCAGGCAACCCGAGTTTTGTCGCTAACCATGCCGATCCTTGTATGACCACAGTGTACTCATCTTCAAAAAGCTGCTTCCAGCAAGATAACACAGGATGACAAAAATCCCAAATCCTCTCAGTTGGGTTTCTTGAACATGACGGTGAGTTCGAGGTACTCAAATAGCTTGTACAATCCAAAAGCACCTTTGGAATGTGGTGTAATGAGAGATTCATATCATGGACCTGCAGCAACTGTGCTATCATGTCAACATGGACCAAAGGTGAGAGAAGGTCCAACCCCAAACTAGCATGCTGTAGCTAATAAAGTGGCCAGCAAGTGTTTCTATAGGGAAAAGAAAGCTATACCCAATTAAAATGTCAGACATGACAACATCCAGGTACAATCAAGTGAAGGGAAAGCTCTTACTTCCATTGTGGCCAACTATGAAATTCACGTTTGGCCCAAACTGGAACGGACCAAAAGAATGATGGCACATGAAATTCTTCACAGTGATGCTTTCAATGAGTCCAATGTCACCCTAAGAACACAAGCAGAAAACGATATTTAACCTTTAACGAGCCGGGAGGAGCAAAGACAAAACTTTGTGTGGGTTTTAATGTTGGGGCGAAATACTCACTGTAGAAAACTGAGCGAAGGCCTTGGAACAGATCCCCTGATGACTTGGGTTTGCATCATCTGGCGTATTTTCGATACTCGCAGCTGCGACTTTGCGGCTCTTGAAAGTTGTTGCTTCAGTGATCACTTTGCCTTTTCTCTTACTCATTTTGGAACAAGTCACTGTCAACAGAGTTAACATGACAAAGCAAATGAGATACCATTATTTTTAACTCCCCCTATAGCTCAGCACTGTCAGCTTAAATGAAACTTTCACTCATTTTGCAAACTGATAAGTTTTTAATTCTACTAATGCACAACCAGAACAACTTTTCTCGTTCAGTCTTAATCTATTAAACTGGGCAGATTTGAATGCTTCTATTAATAAGTGTGTCCACCTGCAAAAGCCCTAAATAAGCCATCAGTATTAGTAGTAGTTCCTTGTTTAAATTTGCAATCAGAAGTGTAAATATGTCAGCGAGACATGCAGCAGTTTGGAGACGGCACCAAAAATGTATAGGGAAGCTTACACAGTGGTGAAAACTAATTTCTCATAGAGTCAGCATGTAAAAATAAAGAAATATGCATTTTGACTTGAAGTCAGGAAGCCGCCACCTAAACTAGCAGATTCAGCGGCGATACAAATAGATGATCAGCAGTGCAACATGTAGCTAAGCGTTTTGCTTCCACATGCAACTCTACATAACTACAGGCACCAGCAAGCCGAGCTACGCTGCATCTATAGGTCACAATGAGCTGGATCTGCTATGCCAGCTGCACCAACATGTAAGAGCCTCTGAGCTCAGTGAGAAAACAGTTTCCAAAAGTCCACACCAAAGTCCAGCTCTTTGTCTCACAACCCCCCTGCAGACCTCCGCTAGAGCTCAGCTCTCGTGGATCACGAACAATATAGCACCTTGTTAGAAGTCGCCTACCATCGCTCGATCTCGTGGGAAGCCTTCAAAAATATTATGATCACGGGAAGAGTGTGCGTCGCTTTACGACTTCCTGGTCGTACGGTGTGACTGCGTGGAAAACGAGCCGCTGCCGTGACAGTTGTGGGTGTGATTTCGGTTCTAAACACGGAACACGAAGCGTGCAGCGTGATTGGCTCGGCATCATTGCTCGGCACCCACCTGTGTGCGTGCGTGGCCGTGTGTGCGCGCGCGCGCGTTCAAAACAAATGTAACAGTTTTTCCCGTTTTGTTTTTGTTTTGGCTGAAAATAGAAAAGCCGGGGGAGTGAGAGAGGAAGTGGAGGGAGGGACCGGGGCTTTAAATGGTGCTGCATGTGGAGTTAGACTCTATATTTTATTTTATTTTATTAAAAAAACGAAAAGAAAACAACAACAAAAATGCAAACACATTGATCTCCGGGAGGATTTTGTGTCATGGCTCATCGAAGCCTTTAAAAGGCGTGAGTGCACGCCCCCATGTCCTCCTCCTACCGGATCCCAGTTCAGTTTAACGACAGGAACAAGATGAGACGTGTTGCCTGCAGCAGACGTGGTGAGAAAAAAAAAATTAAGCTGAAGATCCGTGTAACACATGCGAAAAAGAACGCAAACTAAACTGTGAAGCGACGGGCACTTTTGGTGACAAAAGTCTTAAACTACCCTTAATTTTATTTTGCTTGCAATACGCCAGGAAAAAAAACAGACCTGAGCAATTTATCTTCAGACTTTCTGAAGATTTTTCAAACGTTTTCTTTGGTCACCTCATGTTTTCTTTTCTTTTTTTCTTGATCTATGAGTCATTCAAGCATTAAAAATAGTCCCGTAACTCAAGCTTTGAATCAGTGTTGGTGACACATCATAGACAGCTTAGTAAATAACCAATACTGAATTGTATCTTTAGGCACTTGAGGCTAGTAGACTGTTTATTTTTGCACCAACAAGGTGATTCCCAAAGACCTATTCCCCGAAAACTTAGCATATCTATGCAAAGTCTGCAGTATTTGTTAAAAGATGTTTGTGGTGGCCAAAAACGTTTCAGGCCTAAAACTATCAACAGCAGACAAACAGTGAAGGTTACACATCTAAGCTTTAAGAAAAGAGTGAGGAATCCAAGTTTGACATTTTTGGTTCCAGTGGTTGTACAAAGGAGGTCCAGAGAGAGAGGTACAACAGTGAGTGTCTACAGCCATCTGTAAAACATGTTAAAGCTGCATTTCAGCCAGTGGTGCTGGTGGTCTCTTAGCATCAGATTTTGATCCACAATACAACACCATCTGCGTCTGATTGGCAGCAGCTTTATTTTTAAGCATGACAATGACCCCAAACACAGTGCCAGTGCAGGAAAAGCATACCTGGATAGACATCTTTCACCTGAATAAACTTAAAGTTATATCTTTTAAAAATGTTGGCATGTTCTGCAGATGGACAGTAGATGGCACCGAATGCCAGTGTTGTGAAATTTAAATGATCTGCTTTCTCACCTGATCCTGATTGTGTCTCTCCTCATCAGGCTGCCTGAGCTGTCTTTATGTGTAGTTTTTAATGTGCTAATAATGAGATGGGTCATTAAGTCCTGTGTATGACTGGTGGCGCCAGTGTTCGGCAGCCTCACCTCTGTCAGTGCGCCCCAGGGTGGCTGTGGCTACAATGTAGCTTGCCATCACCAGTGTGTGAATGTGTGTGCGAATGGGTGGATGACTGGTTGTTTAAAGCACTTTGGGGTCCTTAGGGACTAAGTAAAGCTCTATATAAATACAGGCCATTTACCATATAGCTTGTTTGTTTTGTAAATGAACACCACCAGTCTCACTGCAATTCTGTGGCCTGATTGAAGTTAGATTAAATTGCACATTAGTTGTTAGTAGATCACAGTAGGTCAAAAAGAACTCAAACAGCTGCTGCATTTTTTTTTGAGTGGTTTAAATGGCACAAATTTGTTTCTCTCTATCATCATATTTGTTTTTGTTCATCTGCTGTTGTCAGTTAAGTGAGCGGTTAAACAGTCCAACAAGTGAATGTTTTTAAGAAACCTGAGACTCCTCTGCAGCCCAAGACATACAGACCTGAATAATAATCCTCTTCTTATAAGAATAAGCAATGAGATAAATCCATAAGTAAAATAGTTGAATGCACATGTGGCCAAATAATCATCTGGTGTGTTTAACAACTTTACTGCAAAGTCAGTTCAGATTATATACGTTTTGGTTGGTTAATGGTTAGAAAATAACAAAAATTGCTATCTCATGGAAATTATGCAAAGTGTTACTTTGTTTCTCTGCTAACAGTTCTGACATAGATGACTATAACACAAAAATGCATGCACCATCATCACAGTACATGGCGTTGCAGCAGTTGTGAAGTCAGTTCAGTCTTATTTGTATAAAACTGAATATAATTCAAATCTGTATGCTGTTGAACTCACAATAGCATCGCCTTTTCAGTTATTTATATTGGAAGTTTAAGATCCTACAATAATACAGAGAAAACCCCAACAATCAGATGACCGCCTGTGAACAAGCACTTGGCAACAATGGGAAGAAGAACCTTCCACCATAACCAGGCTCGGGGAGGGGCTGCTATCATTAAATGCAGAGTGGTAGTAACCTAGGCCACACTACAGTTTAGTACAATTTAAGTGCCTTTAAAAAAAATAATGGACTGAAGTTTTTTTTTTTTTTTTTTTTTTCTTAAGTCGTAACACATTTGTCTTTACTATTTTGCAGATATATTTGATGTCTAAGCTTCACGATGTGTTCAATTCCCGGGCTTCCAGCACCAGGAACAGAAATCTCTGTTCTCATCACCAGGGTGAACCTGAAACCCAACTGTGGTCTTGTGGAATTATGGGTAAACATGGATGATGAGAAGAAACACATTTACGAGCAGATGAGAGAGGAAATTCAGACTCCTCACAGGAAGTTTTCTGGATTAGAAGGGAAACCAGGGGATCTCTGTCTGGTCTGCATCAACGAAACCTGGCACAGAGCTCGGATCGTATCGATTGAAAGTCAAACATACAGTCTTTTTCTAATTGATCAGGGGCAGCCCCACATTGCCACAAGTGCAGTTTTAGCATGGGCTCAAAATGACAGCTTTCTCCTGCCTCCTGAAATCGAATGTTGCATACTTGCAAATATCTTGTCCCTTGAGAAAAATTTCCCTCATAGAGCTACAAAGTTTTTGATGTCTCTGCCTGGGAAGAAGTTTAGGGGACTCGTTCAATATGTACTGATGCCGGATAGGACAATTCTCCTTGACATACCAGTTGTTTCGAAGCACATGTGCAAGTCTAGAGTTGCAAAGAAGATCCCAGTGGAGGAATTTAAAAATATTGTACTGAAATGTCTAAATTTGCCCAATGATGAGTCTTCTGAGGCCTTTGATGTAACACAGGAACAGAGCCTGAATGTTAGCAGCCAATTTGCTAAACATAACCAATACTTTTACCCAGAGCTGCTTACTGACATTTTGGAAACGGTTTATGTGACTGAGGTAATTGATCCAGAAAATGTTTTTTGCCAGCTTGTTATTCTTTCAAAAGCAGTGAAGATATTGTCTGAACAGATCCATCAACACTATGAAGAGAGCTCTAGTTTTGGAGAGGAACTTCCGCAGAGCTGTGGGGATCCATGTGCTGCTAAAGGGACAGATGGCAGATGGTACCGCTCATTACTAAAGCAAAACATTGAGACCTGTGATGGTGCTGTAAAAGTTTTTCATGTGGATGAAGGAAAAAATGACTTGGTGCCTGTTGAAGACATCAGGCCACTGGCTGGCAAATTCCTGAGAATGCCAGTTATCACATATCGTTGTTCTCTAAATGGAATAAAAGAAAATGGCAGAGAGTGGACTGCAGTGCAGACAGATTTGTTGAAATCACTCCTGCTGAACAAGACTGTGGTGGTGACGTTTGACCACTATGATGCGACTCAAGATGTCTATAATGTTACACTCTATGCAGCTAATGCTACCTGTGTCAACAGTTCTTTTCTGGAGAAGGCAGACTTTATTCCCCTCTCTAAGCTTGAGCAGGATTTAATTGTCCAGAATGAATCTCTTAACTCATCCATTCTCAGTTTACTTGAAGATGAACAATGCATGAATTTACAGAACAAAGTCCATGTCATTCCTGATGGTATACCGGAGGGAACTGCGCCAAGCTCCAAAAACAAAACGGTCAATGGTGGACAAGAGTGTGCATCTCCTTCTTGTAACGGTGACATTTATATGAAAGCAAGCTCTGAACCTGCAGTAGATTGCAATGGGAATACTGCATCAAGTTTCTGCTCTGAGTTGCAAAGTGCTTGTCATGACAGTGCATTCACTGTAGGAAGTAGTGTCACTGTAAAGGTGTCTTGCATTGAAAGCCTACAGAAGTTCTGGTGTCAAATAACAGAAGATGACGACTCCCTCAGATGCCTTATGCAAGATCTGCAAAATCACTATTCATCCGCCCGCTCTCAGCCACTTATTCAGTCCATCTGCGTTGCCCGTAATCCAGATGATAACATGTGGTACAGAGCAAGGATCGTTGCTAATAGCAATTCACCTGTTGTAGACGTGAGATTTATAGACTATGGTCAAATTCAAAAGGTCCCTCTGCAAGATGTGCACCCCATTGATCCAGCTTTCTTGCGGCTAAGTACTCAGGCTTTCCCATGTTGCTTATTCAGTCTGAAGAGTCCTACTTATCCCGTTACCACTACTTGGAATAGCGATGCCTTAGCAGAGTTTCACAAGTTTGTGGATTTAAGTGCGTCGACAGACAGTAGTTTGAAATGCGTTGTAAAGGCAGTGGAATCTGATGAAGAAGGTCTGCTGCTTAATATGGTAGACATTCAGACTGCATTTGGTAGTGCACGTGAGCTTCTGGATAAGAAATGTGCACAGTCTGAGGCACATCTGCAATCTCCTCCACAAGTCACATCTGATGTGTACAATTACTCCACATATAATATTGAGGTGGGTGGTAAAGAAAATGTGTGGATAACATCTTCAGAGACTGTCAATCACTTCTACTGCCAACTGGACAGGAATGCTAAATTGTTTGACAAATTGATGGAAAGTGTTGCACAACTCCTTAGTGAGCCACAGCGCTCAGATCAGACTCTTGGACTCAGTAGCTTGTGCTTTGCAAGGTACACTGATAATGAGTGGAACAGAGGTCAAGTAGTAGAAATAACTCCAAAGCACAAAGTGCACTTTGTGGACTATGGGGATACTCTTGTAGTCAGTGAAACTGATATCTGTCCCTTTCCCACTGAAGCGAGCGTGGCCAGGTCATGTCCAGTGCAAGCTATTCCCCTCGGACTGTTTGATGTCCCTGCAGAATTACCCCAGGAGGTCAACCAGTGGTTTGCAGATCGTGCTGTTGGCCGTAGTTTCACCATTTCCGTGGCAAAAGTGGAAAATGGAAAGCTAATTGTTGAACTGTATGATGGCTCAGTGAGTGTGAATATGAAAGTCAGAGAGAGGATGGCTAAAACTAAACAAAACAAAATGACCGATGTCAATCAGCAGACTGACCAGCACCACTTTAACAGCTTGAACAAAGGCTGTTCAGCACAAGAATCAGTATTGGTGGAGACAGCAGGACAAAATGGAGTCCATGGTAACGATAGGATGTCTGCTGCAGATGATTTAAAGGGGAGTTCAAAATCCACAGCTAATGTCGCTTCACCACGGATTGAGCATGCAACGGTTTTGGATGAAGGAACAAAACCCATAATGCTTGTCACTCTTGAAGACAAAACTGTGGCAGAGACTTCTGTTCAGATTTGCCACAGTGACTCAGACACACAGCACTCCAATTCTTGCCTTGAGAAAAACTTGACCATCTGCATGTACAATTGGCCAAATATTTCTCAAAAACGGATTGAGGACGTGTACGCTTCCTGCATTGTTGGACCACATTATTTCTGGTGTCAGTACAACACTGAAGATCTCAACATGATATCAAAGCTTGCTCAGGAAACTGGGCAAATTCAAGACGCAGTTTTTCCTGAGGTACTGGTGCCTGGAAGTCCATGCCTTGCTCTCTTTTCCAGTGACAACCAGTGGTACAGAGCTCAAGTAATTCAAAAGACTAACAGTACTCTCGATGTTCTATTTATTGACTATGGAAATGAGTCTGAAGTTAGCATTAAAGATGTGAGGTCAATACCCCAGCATCTGCTGGAGATTCCTCCTCAGGCATTTCTTTGCTTTCTAGATGGCTTTGAGTGTGAAGGCTCCTGGGACGATGACGTGTATGATGACTTCTACAATCTTGTGGTTGATAAGCCGCTCAAATTGACAGTCATTAATAAGGAAAAGTATTCAGAGATGGCGGTTCCTCAATATGCAGTGAATATTGAATGTGTTAAGATGTTCATCAGTAGCTTAGTGCAGGAAAACAGGAAATCACTGTCAGGAGAAAATTCAGAGAACCAGACTGATCAAGCAGAAAGTTTCTCCCAAGGCATTCAAACTGAGAACAACACAACTCATTTTGATGCTCCCAAAGGAAATGACAATCTTTGCATGTACAAAGAGCCACAGCTTTCCCAAATCGATGCAGAGACTGTATATGCTTCTTGCATTGGGGATCCCTTTTACTTCTGGTGCCAGTATGCCAACACAGAAGGTCTCCGTGAAGTGTCACAGCTTGTTCAGGAAGCAGGAGAGGCACAGAAGGACACGATGCTCCATGAGACTCCCCATCCAGGGAGTCCATGCCTCGCTCTATATTCCAGTGACAACCAATGGTACAGAGCCCAAGTAATTGAGAAAGCGGACAGCACACTGCATGTTTTGTTCATTGACTATGGAAGCGAGTCCGAGATTGACATCAGGAACATCAGATCATTATCCCAGCCTCTGCTGGAAAAGGCTCCTCAGGCCTTTTTGTGCTGCTTAAATGGATTTAAGGAGTCCGAGGGCTCCTGGAATGACTCAGTTTACGATGACTTTTACACTCTTTTGATTAATAAACCACTTAATCTCAGAGTAATCAGCATAGGAAACCACTCAAAGGTTGGTGTTCCTCAGTATCATGTTGAAATTGAGTGTGAAGGAGTGGCTGTGAACACACTAATGCAGAAATACTGGAATCCGGTTACAGAAGAATGTGTTGATGCTGAAAGCCATCAAACAGAAAACCTCCCACAGGGTGGTCAGACTGAACCTGATGTGAAACAAATTTGCGTTGCAGAAGAAAATGTTTTTAAATGCATGTACAAAGAGCCGCGACTTTCCCCCAACGATACAGAGATGGTATATGCATCTTGTATTGTGGGACCACATTTCTTCTGGTGTCAATATGCCAACACAGAGGACCTCTGCAAAGTGTCGCAGCTTGCTCAGGAAGCAGGAGAGGCACAGCAGAAACTGTTCCCTGAGACTCCTGGTCCAGGCAGTCCATGCCTCGCTCTGTATTCCGATGACAACCAATGGTACAGAGCCCAGGTTATTGAGAACGCTGAAACTTCACTGCATGTTGTGTTCATTGACTATGGAAATGAGTCTCAAGTTGACATCGGTGATATAAGATCACTGCCTCAGACTCTGTTGGAAAAGGCTCCTCAGGCCTTTTTGTGCTGCTTAAATGGATTTAAGGAGTCTGAGGAGTCTTGGGATGACACAGTTTATGATGACTTTTTCAACCTTGTGATTAATAAACCACTCAGACTGACAGTAATCAGCATCGGAGACCACTCGGACATCACTGTTCCTCAGTATCACGTTAAAATTGAGTGTGAGGGAGTGAATGTGAACAAACAAATGCACAAATACTGGAAAGGAGTGGCCAGAGATGGTGCCTTGGCAGAAAGTGTGGAATCAGGTTAGTAGACTGCTAGTTAGTGTTACTGAAATGACTGAAAGGTCCTTTGCTAGTTTAGTTTATCTTGACTTTTTTTTTTCAGTATACAAGGATGAAACCAGTGCCAAGGACGAGATTGACGAGGCTTAAAAGCTGTCAAGTGATACGGCAATCGGTACGTTTAATACATAAAGGTCTCTTTTTGATAAATGCTTCTTTTTTTTATGTATTATTAATAGCAACTCACAGATGAATTATCTATCAAAAGTAAATTTCCAGAAATGGAGAATTAATGACAGCACTAAAAAAAATCTTTCTTTGTTTCTTCCAGCTCTGGGGAGCCAAAATGTGTCTGATACGTTGTTTCAATATGAAGTAACAATTTGTCTTATTACATTTTTTATTTTTATATTTGTCCCAATAAAGTGTTTACATAGATTAAAACTGGTTTGTTTATTTATTTTCATGGTTTCTAAACATTTGAACAGATAGTTTTGCAGACTGCATTGGCTGGCAGATTTGCAGCTGCTTAGCATTTGTACTCTGATTAAAAGAACAGTAATGCAGACTTGGAATAAATCTCTACAACCAAATCATCAAGATGAATGTATAAATAAAAGGGATTTAGTCTTAGCTTTTATAGCTTTTAGATTTGTTTGGATTTATTGTTATAACAGGTTATAATATTCTTTACCAGGTCAAGTCTCTAGAAACGCGTACAGAGTCATATTTTTGTTTTTTGACAATCCTTAAAGATGGTTTGATTCCTAGAGCAGTTTTCACTTTTAATCCAAAATGACTTGCATTTGCTTATAATAAAGATTTGAGCATTAACAATTGGTGCTGTTTAATTTTTTTTTTTTTTTTTCTATGGATATTTATTTGGCATTTCATTTATGAAACAACGGTCACTTTAAGGCACTTTATGTCTTAACGTAGAATCTCTGAGTGGAAAACTCAAACTATCAGTGCTGGCTCATGGGGTATTATCTAAGTAATTTTTGAGATTGAAAAAAAAACTCCTTACAGTTTAGAAACTTCTAATGGGAAGAAACGTTGAGCAGAACCAGGCTCAGGGAGGGGGAAGCCATCTGCTGCAACTGTCTGGGGCAGAAAGGAAAGAGAAAAAGGGCACACACAGAGAGATGAGACAAAAATCGACTGTGGCATGAAAATTAACATTAATGACATGCTGCAGTGGTGTATAAACACCTGGGGAAGAAATGCTCGGTGCATTTAGGAAGCCCCTCCACAAGCCCGAGCCTTTAATGGCGAGATGTTCAGGCTGAACCAGCCCTAACTATAAGCTTTATCAGAAAGGAAAGATTTAAGCGTAATCTTAAAAGTAGAGAGCATGTCTTCAAAGTCTTGAATCTAGATGAAGGGATCAGTGTTGGTCAAGTTACTTGAAAAAAGTAATCAGTAACTAATTACTGATTACTTCCCCCCAAAAGTATTCCCGTTACTTTACTGATTACTTATTTTCAAAAGTAATTAATTACTTAGTTACTTTTTAAAAACACGATTTACAACCTGAATAGGTAATAAAGCAATAGATCTTTCAGCCCACTTTTTCTGCATAATCCATCATACAAAAGGTAATCAAATGGAAAAGTCTTTTTTTAAAACTTGTTTTATTAGTTTTAATCTTTTAACTTTATGCATCAAGCAAAAATTAAATTATATGCACCATTCTCTGACTGGAAGAAATTTGTTTAACATTTAAACCTATTTTCTGCACATTCCAGCACATAATTTATTTTTTATTTTTTTGTGTTTACACTCAGTCTTTCAAATAGATGCAAGTAAAACACAGCAGAAAATAAATAACATCAAAGACTAGCGGTCCTGTTGCTCTATTTTCACCTGTAAAGCAGGAGTGGCGTAGGCAGAGGTTTGCCCCGGTGCAGGTGAGCCTCAGCGGTCAGTGGAAGAATCCGTGAGTTTCCCATTACGTGGTAGCGCACTCCCGGTGCTTGCTTGGAAGTTTAGGTGGTTTTTTTCACTGTAAAAAGAAGTTTTACACTTGCAAGAAAATCAGGGTTTTAGTAATGCAGTAACGCAGCGTTCCTACGGGAAAGTAACTGTAATCTAATTACCGTTTTTGCAATAGTAATCCCTTACTTTACTCGTTACTTGAAAAAAGTAATCAGATTACAGTAACTCGTTACTGCCCATCTCTGGAAGGGATACATGTGTGGCAGGTTCAAAATGACTAAAGTCAAGAAAAAATGTACTGGGGTAATAAATGTGCTTCATGTAGGCCCATTAGATCTGGGAATTGTTTGTCAGCAGATGTGGAAAACCAGTATAGAGTCATGAATGTGAATAAAATAATGTTGTAACTAATAAAGCAATTAATTAAGAATCTGGCTATATCTGTGAAGCACAGGACACTTAAAATGTTAGCCTGATTTATTTCCACACTAAAAACAGACACAATGTGGATTGTGTTACCTTTTTTTTACTTGTTATAGCACATAAAATGAGTTTTCACTTCCTAAGACAGGCTAGCCTTACTTAAATCGCGTCCTTGCTGTTTTTGAATAATAATAATATATTTTTATTAATATATTATTATTATTGATAACGATCTAGACACGCCCTGGTTTCCTTTCCGCGTTTTTACCTTCAGGTTAGGAGCCATCTAGTGTTGATCCGTTGCTAGGATCCACTGTTGCTAGGTTAAAATGTCAGAGTTGCACCAAGCTGCAGCAGCAGGCGACTGTGATCAAGTTGAGGAGCTTCTGAGGGAAAATAAGTGCAATCCCAACCAGAAAGACATCGACTGGTACAGCAAGACACCTCTCCACTGGGCAGCGGCTAAAGGTAGTTCGTTAAATACGTGAAAATGAGGCGTATCCGTGTCCCCTGGTGACTGCGCAAGTCTTGGGCTCAAATTACCTGTTCGCATTCACTGGAAAATGAAAAATGTGATTAGACCACGTGTACGCTGTTTATGCAACATAAATGTTAGTGTCAGTACACTAAACTGCGCTTTATACCGTGCGTAAAAACGATTTAGGCACAAAGTCGGAATTCATGAATATTTGTTAGAGCTGCCTTTTCACTAAATATTTAATACAGTAGACAGCATTCATTAAAAAATACTTTGGAAACAGTTTCTCCTTTAATAGCCATAAAGATGACGATTTTTCCGTAAAAGCTTGACAAAAAAAAGCCCTTTCCTCAATTCTATTGATTCAACATTGAAATCTGACATTACATCAAATTTTTAAACTACATTAATATTGAAACAATATCAGAGTCGGATAAAATACATTTTAAAGTTCAACATTGATGTTGAACATTTATTTTATATCAATTTTTCACCCTCTGTTAAAAGTGAATCAGTGTTGAATTCTGATGTTGATTTTTCCATCACTTTTGCATGCTCCGTTAATAGTGAAGCAACAATGAAATAATCCTTTAAAAATCAACAGGACTAATACTAAACCACTGCAAATTATCATCAGCATTTAAACCTGTGCATAAGACAGTTGTGGATGATTATAAACAGGATAACCATTATCTGTTAAACATTATGTTACAATTTAACATGTCCATAATAATATCCCAATATTATTAAGCATTACGTTTTATCTTTGCATCAATTAAGAACAGTTTATTATATAAAAACTTTTTTTTTTGTTCAGTGTATTATTTTGAATTCATTGATTCTAATTTACTCTGGAATGGGGCTGGATATTGGGTGTCCTGCACCACCCATCTGATCTGGAGCATATAGGAGCCATTCCTGCACTTGTTGGGCAAAGGCAAATTCAGAAACTGCATTTACCCTCAGCTGCTGAGTCAGGCCATCTGAGACAAAAAACAAAATGTGAGCCAACATGGGAGCTACAGGCCAACCTTGTAGTTTGCTAAGAATCAGAGTTTTGAGTTGCTGCGTCCAGACCAGTCTCTAAATATTCAACAATGTCTTTTTTGTGCTTGTATGTTAAAACTGTGATTACACACTATAGCCAATTTTTTAGGTACACCTTTTCAACATCTCGTTTATTGTCATTTCTAATGAGCCAATCAGATTGCAGAAACGCAGTACTTTTAGGCATGTGCGGCACTGTACAAAAGCCTTGCACTACACCTCATTTCTTTATATTTTGCTTCCAAGGTGCCAGACTTGTTCGTAAATTTTTACCGAAACCACTACCTTGACCTCAGCAATAGTTTTCCAGTCTTTCAACATTATTTGGACATGCTTGGCCTGCTTTTTTACTCATTTTCAGTCCGGTCCTTGTACCTGACCATTTTTTTAGAGGAATCAAGGAAAAAACGTGACTGGACTTTTCTTGAAGATGTTTCGCCTCTCATCCGAGAAGCTTGTTCAGTTCTAAGACCAAATGGTGGAGAGTCCCAAGTGTGAGTTGTCCCTGTTGATGAAAGGTGGCTTTTTCACACACACACAATAGACAAAGACAACATCTCCCAAGATTTCAAACATAGAGAGGTCTCTTTTCAGGTTTTCTGGCTATTTAGGGCGAGGCAAGGTCTCACAATGGTTTCACCCAAAACCTCTGCTATGGCCCACACCCTTTTTCACACCTTGAAAAAGGGTGTGGGCCATTATTAGCAAAGGTTTTGGGTGAAGCCATTGTGAGATTCTCCACACTGCTGGAGTAAATATACTTTGTTACTGTACTTAAATAGAATTTTCCGTTCTCTGCACTTTACTTGAGTATTTATGACTACCTTTTTACTTTTTCTCCCTACATTTTTAGAGAAAAATCTGTACTTCATCAGCACTACAGGAGAGGAGACGCATGAAAAGAGTGGCTTTTTGTGTGTCAGGCATGCTCCTAGCTAAAGGTCCAGCTGCTGTTTTTTACAGGGAGAGAAATGAGTGAGCCAAAACCTTAAGGAGGGTCCCTGAAAACGTTTATAAAACACTCTGCACAATATTGTTTAATTTCCCCAATAGCCCTAATTCATCAAAATAAGTATTCTTAACTTGCTCACAAACTAATTATATCTTTCCATAGGACACACAGAAATGGTGAGGATACTTATAAAGCATGGAGCCAGACCATACCTGAGGACAGAGTATGGGTGGACCCCTGCCCATTTTGCTGCAGAGTCTGGTCGGCTGGCAGTGCTGCGGTTGCTGCACTCACTCCATGCACCTATTGATAAGGAGGACTGCTGTGGAGACAAGCCAGCGCGTATAGCCGAGATATACGGACACCAAGACTGTGTTAGATTCCTTAAAAAGTATGACATGAAGCCCGGTTCTCAAATTGTTGTGATTTTAATAACAATAAACTATATATAATATAATGCTTGTACATGATTAATATATGGTCTTGTTTTGTGTGTTACAGAGCAGAGATAGAGTGCGAGGTTTATCGCAAGCTATCAGCGCGAGAAGGGGTTTCAGTGGATGACACAGATGAGGAGTGGGCAGAACGGGACAAAGAAAACTTAAAAACTGAAGCAAGATGTGAGCCCAAATCCCATTTACAGAAATAAAATCCTCACGCAGGTTTTCTTCTATCCTTTCAGCTGAGAGTTTTCCTTCAGCTCTTCACTGCTAAGTGCTATTTAAAACATGCAATGTACAGTATTATTAAATCACATTTCATATGAATATGTATATTGAACAAAGAAAGACAGATAAGTGTAATAATTATTAAAACTTCTGATTTGTATTACTGCAAGTAAAACAAAATAAACAACAAAGAAACAGTCACATCAAAGAGTAAATGTAGCTCATGAATCAAATATATTTGATTTAAATGTAGTGTTTTGTGAGTATACATGTGTGCAGGTGTTGTTTAGGACTTTTTAGTTGTTGTTTCCAAATTTGTGGAGCTTTCGCTGATGGTTGGTGGAGCCTGCAGAACAGAGGAAACAGATGTGCGTCATTCATTATGAGTTACCACGGTTATTTACGAACAAGCTGTGGTTCACTTACTTTTTTCCTGAAAGAATTCAGCAGTGCTTCACGGGTCTGTGAAAATCAGAATAAAAACATTTGATGAAAAGATTTCCAAGGATATTTTTGATGATTGTTGATAATAATTTCATTAAAATAATTGAAATAACACAGAATAAACCTGAGAACAACTACAACAATAATGACATTGATTCAGCTGTGGATTTTACATCATGCGTTCCTGCCATTGGCTTCAAACTTTAAATATATTCAAATGTTATCACAGTGATACAGCAGCATCTAACTAAAACTAGGTAGGCCTCTTATCTCTAGAAGTAAATGACTTTACCATTCTGTCCCCCAGGCACGTGGTCAACAAAATAAACAAACCCTAGAAAAGAAAAACAAGCATTTAAAAAAAACAGTAATACTTTTAACAGAACAGATATTGAGTCTGATCAGTTTAATAATTGTGACCATACCTGGAATGCATTGAGCACAACAAAAGCGTAGTTCACAGCTAAAGTCACAGCTCTAGCTGTGAGGTCCAGACTAAATGTTGCAAATCCAAAAATCCATGGCAAACCAAAGATTGGAGTCAGAAGAATAACTGATCTCAGGACAGTTTTGGCAGCCTGTATTTCTTTCTCATGAGACTTTTCTCTGCTCCTATGGTCCAGAAGCTTCATGATTACCACTATCATGGCAAACAAGTTGATGAAAACAATTATACCAACTGGGAGAATGAATGTATAGATGGTTCCTTTCAGAAGTCCAGAATAAACCAGCCAACATGTTTCCAAACTGAAATACGCGTCTTGAGCGCCGCCGTTGTTGGTGAGAAATGTGATGAAAACAATGAGAAAAGGACAAACGTAGCCCAGGATCAACGAGAACCTCAGATAGGTTTTCTTGCCCACTTTGTGAAACAGGAAAACTGCCTGATGAAGGAGCATGGTGCTCAGGCTCAACATCCAAAAGAACATGGCCAGGTAGCAGAAATGCTTCAGAAGAGCTGCAATTCTACACCAGATTTCTGAAATGCTCTTTGGTTGAGAAGATGCCAGAAAACTGCAATCTGCCACCAGCAAACAAAGAGAAATGTTCACGTGGGCGGTATGGCGCAAATGTAGAGTATTTGTCTTGACTACTTTGCTCCAGACGATCAGTTCTATCAGGAGGCTGATAACGAGTGACACCACTGATGCAGAAAGTCCAGCGTACGTTATCTCGGTCATGTAAGGGATTTTAATGGGATACCGAGACATCAGAATGGCAAATGAAGTCAGATGATTGCAAGTGCACTCGTCAGGTTTAGAAGCGCCCCCCCATACACATCCTTCATCTGTCCATTTGCTCTGGTTGTAGTTCCATGAGACACATTGTAGTTCAAAATGGCGAGGCCTTGGTGTGAGCAATGGGAACTTTAGTGTAATCTCAAGGTTTTCTTTTCCCCGTTGAGTGGTTGACACAACAATGCTGTTGATGTTAAATGTATGTGTTGTATTGGGCAAATAGTCCTGCAGGTATTTGAATCCAGCTGTTTTTACGATGCCATTTCCTGAGCTTCTAACAGTGACTGTGGCATTGAACACCGTATTGGTGCATTCATCTCCGCTGCATGTGTCTATATGTATATTTTTTTGATCAGAATCATTACTTATGTTTGATATCGCAATTAAATCCTCTACTGACTGCAGATATTTCTCAGCCAGGGTTTTGTTGCTTTCAGGATTCGGATTATTCCACGAGTTTCCAAGAGACCCATCCAGCAGATTACTAGATGAGGCCAGGAAATTCTGAAAAGAAAGACAAAGGTTTGCAGCTCATATAGCTGTGATGTTCCCATTAAAGATTAATCATAAAAAATGAGTTAGTTGTCACTCGTCAGCAGCTGTTTTATGGTATATGGTTTAAATGAGCAATGAACTTGGTGTAAAAGTTAAATAGTGATACTGTACTACTAATGTATGTAAATAGCAATAAATACATTGACCAATACTGGAGATTTGTTTCATTGTAACTCTTAAGGTTTGTAACTTTAAATACAAGTATTTATACTTATCGATCTTAATGTTTTAAATGTTTTTAAATAGTAATAACAAAGATATTCTTTGGTGCTTACGTTACTTGTGGTTGTGTCATTTACACCATGGTTTGTCAGAATGATAGACATGGTGCTGATCACTTGAACTGATGCATTCAAATTGGGAAACGTGTTAATAGTCTGTGGATTTTGAGTGGCATTGGTAAGACTAAAAAATATTGACTCTGCATTTTTTTCTAATGCCCCAAGTCCAGTGCCAGAAATCTGTAACAAGAGCACATATGTATTAGGCAAGCTTAACTGTGTCAGATGTAACTGTGTCAGCGACTTTAACAAAAACACTAGAGTACTTTCCATTTTCCTGTCCTGTAAAAATAGCAAAACAGTTGGATAATTTGTTGCTTTATATTAATACGATTACTTTCCTTTCATGTGTAAAAAACAAAATCAAAAAATAAAAAGTGAAAAGATGATAACCTCAGTTATAAAATTTAGGCTTACCACTGCATTTTGCAGTATATTGTCGAGGTCGAAGTTCACACATTTTGATTCTTCCTTTCTCCATATCCCCTCCAAGCTGAAAATATTAATTAAAAAAATTTAATGTTACACATAAATTCTAATATATATACTGCTTAAATAATTTCCTTAATCAAAATGCAAACAATTATAGTTTTTGGACAGTAAAAGAAACAGAACTTTTAATCCAAATAAATAAATAAAAATAAATTATTATTATTATTTACATTATTACATACTACACATGATTGGTTATATTCTTACTCGCATATCCTTGTTCTTTGCCCAGCAGAGTTTTTGCATTTTAAAACTGCAGTAAAAGTAGCTTTTGTGGCTTCCCAGTCACCTTCAGCTGGACAGTACTTATCATTTACTGTTTTAGGGAAGAAAATTTCATATAGTTACAAAGACAATATTCTAAAACTGTTAAAACTGAATTTGTCACAAAAATTTTTTCCTGTAAAGCATACAAATATATAAATATTTGATCCTTCAATGAAGTAATAAGTATTTCCAGAATTTAGTCATGACTGCACAATCCTTGCCAGATTTTACCCAAATGTATTTTACAATGTAGTATAATTCAGTATGTCACAATTACTATATTATTATACACTAATATCATGCACCCTCTTTCAATTGCAAGGTTTTATATATCAGGATGTAATTTAAAAAACTTGTCTGGACTATAGAAAGTTCTGAAATTATATAATTGCAACCTCAGATAAACAAATGGCCTCACATGCAACTCTAGAAACTAATACAGTACAGATTCGTTCATGGTTGACTCAGTGACTGAAAGGTGCCCAGGTCCTGTCCCATCACAGGACCTGGATATCAACCCTTCATTGTGCTGACAGTTGGCATGAGCTGTTTGTGATGATATGCTGTGTTTGTTTTTTGCCAGAACTTCTCCCCTCTGGTCTTGACCTTTCAAAGGACATTGTTCCTGAAGTCTTGTAGTTTGTTCAGTTGCAGTTTTTCAAACCTAAGCTGTGCTGCCATGTTCATTTTTTAGAGACGAAGATCACTCCTGACAGCCTTTACAAAACAAGCCACACTTATTCTTCTTTTTCCAATTGTATTCTGATTAACTTCAACATTTAACATGCTAACTGAGGCTCATAGAGTCTAAGATTGACTTCTAAAATTGTTTGTAAATGGCCTTATCACCCAGCCCAAGATGGGGAGTAACAGTTGTTGATGTCTTTTTGCTTCTTTTTTTTTGCATTAACACATTACTGAATTCTTCAGACCAGCAAAGTGACAAAACATCTGCTTTTATTGAGGCGCTCACACTTACTGACAGCCTGTTAATCTATACAAAATACAAATATAAACAAAACCCATAATAACATATGTGTGTCTTAAAGATACATATGTGACTTCTTTTTAAACTTGTATATCTTTTATTTTTCTTGAAATGAATTAGGAATCGTTTTGGGGCATTTAAAATGATTCATTTGACTGTTGTCTTTAAGGTAAGTAATCATTTAAAAATGTTTCAGGCAGTTTATGTTAAAATATCAGAACCTGTTGTTGTGAACTGGCACAAATGAATGAAATCAGATTCATTTGTTTGTTGAAAGTTTTATAGTTACTTAGTTCTTTTTTTTTTACTTCATTGTGGGATCATTTGTGGGTAATTATGCCTTCAATAATTCCCATTGCAAAATACAAAGACATACCGGAAATGATATTGAAGCGCACTGTAGCCTGTCTTACATTCCCAAGTCTGTTGGTAAATGTACACACTGTTGTATCTACACTTGTGCTATGAGCACAGATGATTATTTTACTAGTTGTATAAACTAGTATGTTGCCGCCTGCAAGAATTGAATATTCATGTCATGTATTTTCAGAACAATTTTGCATAATAAATATTTTAATTGAAATTAAATGAGACCAAATAAATTACTTACTCTGAGTTTCTAATTGGCCTTTGAGACCTCCATCCCATGTGACATTATAAGGTTCAGTACTATTGCTTATCTCACATTTGGCTTTTGCTTGGAGAATATCATTTTTGGTTTTACAGCGTGGAAATGATGGCTCCGTGAAGACGTCAATGTCCGGTAATAGTGCTACATCCAGTTGAGCACTGGCTTTGTGTAACATGTTGACTGTACAGCCTGATGTGGTGCAATTACCCGTTTGGTGATAGATACATGAGAACTGTCCTAAGAAGCAAACACAAGTGGGGTTAAAGCCAGCAGATTTTGATTCTTTTCATTCTGTTTGTTTCTGGTCCATAGAGGGGTGGTTGGGGGGGGGGGGGGGGGGGGGCTTTCACATGTGTGTTAAAAGTGCATTTCTTCTGTTTTGCCATCATTGTATCATCTTTAATTATTAACAGTACCAATAATAATATAATGGAACATTCATACATACCATTCCAGAGTTCTGTGACGTTACTGAGGTTGACTATACTGTTAGTTCGTGATGATGTATAAACTGTTGAAACTGTTCCAGTAGTTATGTCATATTGCCCTTTGCTATTTATTATACTCCATTGTGGGTAAATTTTCAGGTCCTCTTTGGTTGTGCATCTGATCACTTGGTTGGTGGCACCATAAGGCACAGGCATTGGTGGCATCTTTAAGTTGACAAGACCTGTGGAGGAAAAAATAATAATAATGAAATTTCAGTCCCTGAAACTTAAAAACCTATCCAGTGCTGTGAACACCGCAGATTGAAGGTACTGTTTTGGAGCAACAGAATAAATCTTAAAATTATTATAAACTAAAACTAGATGCATAAAGATCTGTGACTTTCATTTTATCTTCATCAGAGTAATGATTGCATCCATAACAAATCTGATTTCACTTTGGGTTTTTTTTTTTTTTTTGGTGGACAGAAAATGATGATCATGGAGAACTAAGAAGAGAACAGAATTTACAGAATTTTTAAACTCACATGTTGGAAAGAATTTCTTGCATACAGTACAATGCACCCCTCTGCAGCAAGATTACATTACCTGAAGTCTCCATAATAAGTGAGGCGGACAGACTTTGGCCAATCTTTACTGAATTACTTATCAGAGCTTGTGAATCGATGCTGGAGGCGATGATTATTTTAAAGTCTGCAATGACGCTACCAATCCTTCAAACAAACAAAAAAAAGAGTGATTTTACATTTTTATTAGATAAATGTAAAAACATAATATTTTATTTGTAATTGCACGAATATACCTGAATCTTGTAATGTTTAAAAAGTCAAATCCCCACAGAGTGCTGTACACTGTTTTCATCTAAGAGGTAACAAAGGATGGAAATAAAGTGAATAACAGTAATTTCTATTTTCAAGGTTAAAAATTATGCTGTATACACTTAAATGCATTTTGAGAAAAACATTATTACCTTTGTCAACAACCCATCACTGCATTTTGCATATTTAGGGTTTGTTATATCTTCCAAACAATCTGTATATGTAGACCCCTGCAGTCTAAGAGACCCTGTGATGGTAACTGTGAGCAAGAAAATGTCATTTTGGGGGATGCTTTTAACCTTGATGCTCACAAATAACCAGATGTGCAAAAACAGTTAAATTGACTTAATACCTGTGGTGTTTAGGACACATTTTGCATCTGCACTTTTATCCAAAGTGCATGTTGCATTGCCACAACATTTTGGATTAGACTGACAGAAAGTATCGCTCCATCTGTGGTCTGGTTTGCATTCACATTCTTTGCTGCCGGTACCATTTGTGCACACTTATGAGGACAAGAGTTATTCAGGGTTAGAGCTAGAGGTTATATAAGTATTTTCTTCATAAATCACAGCATGATGTGGAAGATTGGAAATTAGTTTACCTGTTGTCATTACAGGTGCTACAACAAATGTATTGTTACACGTAAAATTCTTCAGTATGCTCGTGATATTTGCAATTGCACTTTTGTCTATTATCAGTTTGGCATAAAGCATTTGTGTTGAATTATCAGCCTGTGGAAGAAAAGTGATTCC